GTGCTGGGGGGGCCAGGCCTGCAGTGGCGCAGCCACTTCTCGGGCCGTCTCCGTGTTCAGCCTCGCGTCCTGCGGCCGGACAGGTGCCACCTCGCCCGCGAGTCCCAAGGGCGGTCCCCGGGGTTTCTTCGGCCGCCGCCTCCTCCCGCCCTCTGCCTCCCGCGCGCCCTGTCGCCCGGCTGAGGCGAGCTGCTGCTCGGGAGCCTGGTGCGGCGTCGCTGCCCCTCTCTGTCGTCTGACAGGCACAGATGGGGATCTTCCTTGGTTAGTCCTGGGTGCAAATGCATCCCACCTGCCTGGGTCAGAGTCTGTCCCAGGGAAGGCGGTCCCATTGGCTGGTCGTCTCAAGACAGCCGCTTGGTTTTGTGTCAGCGAGGAGCAGCAGCAGTGTCCAGAGCCTCTGGCTCCACTTCTCTCCCTGCACCCTGCCAGTGACTGACTGCCATCCACGCTAAGTGGAAATCTGTTTTCTGAGCATGCTGTCCTCATGCTCCTGACCCTGTGTAGCACAGGGAAGAGGCGTCAAACTCATCCAGCCCCATGGGCCAGATAAGACTCTGCAAACCAAATCAGGACTGTGGGCCAGATGAGAGTCTGCAGGCCAGATCAGGACTGGGAGCAGTGCCCGTGATGCCCATGTATTGCATGCAGCACACACCAGCCCTGTTTACACCACATGTATCACCCAGGCTGGACCCTGCACCGCATGTTGCACCAAGGGGTCTTCCAGGGCACGGGCTGTATGCTTGACACATCTGGCATGGAAACTTGACCCAGGATCTTCTGCTCAGTTGTGCTTTAACCAGTCTGGTGGAAACTGATTTCTCCCTACTTTGGTACAAACCTGCACCAGGAAATGTATCCCACCATGCAGTGCCACACATTTCACAGCAAGTGGCCGGCATCCTGATATTCTTAGCTTTTCCCAAAAATGGTGCTTTTTGTACTTTCTCACTCATAGCTACCATGCCATTTCTTTCCATTTTTATGGTTTAAGACACAGAGCATACATAAGACAGACAGAACACAAGGTAGCAGGGCCAAGCATTCCTTTCTGTTCTCCTGCTACAGGCACAGTCAGAAATTTAATCTTTTTTCATGTTTGTTCTCCTTAAGATCTTTATAAATCTGGATTTCCTTTGTCGAAGCCAGGGAAGTTCTCATTGGTTGAAGTTCTTAAGTCAGCCACTTGGTTGACTCTCTGCTCTGTCTCTCTCTAAAGTTCCCTCTCTAATCATTGTATATCCAGTTTATCATTTATAAAATACCTCTGTCTAAATTCAGAGGTATGCACCTAAGATTCAAATACATGAATTTACTTAAATAACTGAAATAAAATTATTCCTTTCTCATAAAGTCCTTTTTATATATGTTAGGGTCTGTCATTAATTTTATTTGGTCTTCCTTGCATAAGTTGTTCAGGAATTCTTAGCATTCTTTCTGTGAATTTGTTGTAATCTTCTATTTTCCTGCCCTTGGTTTATCTTGGGTGCCTTTTTTTTTTTATATTAAACATCCTACTTAAATGCTAGTTCTTAAATCCTACCTCACAACATACAAAAATAAGCATCTTTTAACAGCTTAGTTTGCAGTATCTTTTTGTATATTTTTTACTGCCATAACCTGTACCTTGGATCCTTCAGAATAAATTGTTCAGCCTCAGACATGCTTCATATGGTTTCTAATAATATTTTTAACAAATTCTTCCTCTCTCCTCCTTTGTTCCCTCTATTTTTGTTTAGTTTATAAGCTATATCAAAATGTATACCCAAACAGCTGGGCAGTCTCTCTATCTGTACTCTGTACTACCAAAAGTAAAACATAACTTGCTGGTTATCAAGCTACTTTTAAGGTAGGAAAGAATTGTTTGTCCTTTGTGCCTCTCCCATCAAACTTAAATTTTTGGTTTCCATCTCCAAATTCATCCTTCTCTTTATATCTCTAAGCTATTATATTTTGCACTCTGAGCCATTTAGCTATTTATGTTGAATTGCAGTTTTTAAAAATGCATTTTCTGAATTTTGTCAGATATTATTTTGAAATTTGCCTGTGGTTTTGAATAGCTCATCTTTATATGGTTTACATATTAAGTTTTTATGTTGTTATTCCCAATGCACATTTTTAAAGTCCTGCCTGAAAGCAAGTTAATTTAATCATCAGGAATATTGTCTTTGCTCTGCTTTACATAAAGACACACGCCCAAAAGAACAAGTTCAAACATATATGTGTTTTCCTTTAGGATTCTGAACACAGTGAAAATATTATTGAGAAGGAAGGAATAAATCAAAGGGAATCCCTATTTACAACAGATTTTTTTCCTTTTTCTGGACTATTTTGTAATTTCTATCTTAAAGTGGCAGAAAAGAGAGAGAAATTGTTACCAAGTTAGAGGATTTTTGCCTAGATCCTTCTGATGTAAGTCCTCAGTCCAAAGTAGTCATTCTGCTTATCCAGGTTTCACTGAGTGCCCTGTAGTAGTTTTGTAACATACTACTAATCGAAGGAAAATCATTTAATTTTTTTGACAAGGTAATGTGGGTAAGGTATAATTAGTATCTTGTTAACATTTGCTGTCTTGACTATGTTAAGAGTTTATGGGCACATTTTTCTGCCTGGGGTGATGCATTTTCATGGTGGTTTTGCAAGAACGATCTGTAGTCACCCTGAAATTATTCTCTGATTTGCTGAGTAAAGTTTGTCTTTTCAAAGTGACTGCCATCCCCCTCTTGCATGATATGAAGCAGTAAATGCTTGGAAACTGAATGATTCCATACAAGTAAAATGTTATATAAACAAAGCTTTTTTTTTTTTGTCTGTTCTTTTTTTTAGATGGATTGGTTGTCTCTGGAAAAATGGATGGCAGCAAGTTAGATGTGGAAGTGTCTGAGCCAGAAATCAAAGACAAAGTAGTACAGCAAGAGCCATTAAGGGAATCTGACAATAGCATTTTGGATGCAACTTCCGATTCTCCAAGAGGTTTGCTAATAAACTACAGGAACATCTGCAATCTGTAGGGGAGGGAGAATGATTGATATTTTGCAACCTTAGTATATGGTATACAACAAAACCTTTTTATACCGCAGATTTAAAATATGTCTTTTAATTGATATGCCATTTCCCCACCCCCAATATCAACATTTCTAGAATTCCTTCTGAGATTCCTCCCAACATATAGTAAGTCATGCTGTTGGATGAAGTAGGATCTGCATCCATCTTTGTAAGTGCCACTTCTCTACTCTTTCAGTGCAGATAAATGATACTGGACGTAGAAGGGCATTGCATCTCAGCAGAGGATTAGGAGCTAGGAAATCCTGAATTGTAAAACCAGTTTTGCTAGAGGCAAGGATTTCTTAGCGTGATCTTTTATTGGACTACCTATGTGGTTGGGAAAAGGTTAGACAAGGACAAAGCCTTTTAATCTGAGATCCTACAGACATACAAGCCCATTGTCCAACATTAAGTACTTTTGAAGTATCTCAGAGAACATTTTTTTTTTCAAGACAATGGGGAGTGGGGCTAGTTTGAGGGAGAGTAAAGACAGATGGGGCTACACACAGTGGATCAGCTATGGAGACAGCTTTATTAGAAAGATATAGGTTGCACATTGACCCATATCAGGCAGTGGTCTGATGTGGGACAACAGGCTATGTTTTCCTCTTGCCTGGGGATTTCTTGCATCACTTGCTACCCCATGCTTTCTTGTCAGGATGAATGGGGAGCATGTGGCCCAAGAAATCCCCCGTGTCCCATGTCTTTGTGCTGGGATCTGTTCTGACCCATGCCTTCATGTGACCCATGCCATGGGTCCAGGCAAGGAGGTGCAGGGTTGCGTGGGATCTGAGGAATTGCCAGCATGGAGAGAATTTTTATGATGGCACAAATGCCATATCAAGCAACACCTGTTTTTAATTTCAGGTGTAAATGCACCTGTTCTTGATGTGATTCAGAATCTGGGCACAGTCAGATCTGGAATAAACCCAACCTCTGTTTCTACCCTAATAGCTGCTTTAATATTGAGAGGAGGTAATCATTTCAAGGTTATTGTGGGAGCCTTGAAATTGATGGCCTCTAGTCTGTTTTACCAATTATGCAGTAAAAACAGTGGTTCTCAACTTTTCTAGACTCAAGAAACTGCTAGTTATTAGTTTTCACTTACTTCTTGACTAGAGAAAAGTAATAGAGCAGTTGTTTTGATGCAGAGAACTTAAAAAGACCACATTGGGGCAGAATGTTTTTAGTGCTACAAATTTATATTTGAAATCTCTGGGTTTATCTTATGAATCATGTTTGCACATGTAGCCGTGCTAACCTCATGTAACATCCCATGGTACCTTCAAAAGGATCACAAGGCAACCCAGGGTGCTGTGGCATCCTGGTTGAGAATCACTAATTCAAGGAGAGTACGGACCCCTTTCCCTGCCCAATTTCCCCCAACCCTAGAATAAATGAAGTGTCAGGTTTATAATAATAACTATGCCTTGTAATAGTATGGAACAGATGCACTTAAGATGTTCTTGGTTGTCAAACAAGTCATAGGGCAACTTTGCATGGATATAGTGGTTTCACTTTCTGAAAAGGCATCAACAAAGAGTAAAAACAAATATGCTAGAAATAGATTTAGGTAAGTTTAGAAATGGAGAAGTTCTTCAACTTGGGGTTTTGAACACTTATTTTTATATTTTTGCTTTTTAAAGTATGCAGCAATTCAGGAAACAAATACAGAAGATTAATACTGACATAAATTATTCCCTTCTGGTAAGAACACTTCATAATTGAAAGATGAAAAATGCAAAGTATTTTTCTAGTTGGCAGTGGAGTCTCTCAGCTAACATCAGAATTGAAGTGTCAAACAAGAACAATATCAAATAGAGATAAATTACAGCCATTTCGAAGCATTTTTTAACTTGAATTATCTGTCTTTTTCAGAGAAGCATATATCAATTCAAAGACAGCTTGCTGATCTAGAAAAACTAGCTGATCTGAGTGAGGGTGAGTTTGCTTCAACTGTATCCCCGAACACAGATCTTCAAGTTGGAGGTATTTAAAATTTATCTCTTCGTTTTGATTTTTTTTTTTAACATTGCCAGATATATTTCTGTTGTCTTAATTGTTTATGAAACTTCAGGTTTAGGAAACTTCATTTAAAACAATACGCTCAGTTATGATCACCCCATATTGAGAAACATTATTTCCACTCTGTACAATCTGGTACACTAAAGGCCTTAACAGTTCTGTTTTTCTCTTCTCTGTCAATACAGTATGATTATGAATGTCAACCATGTGTACAGTTTAGGAATTGGTGTTATCTACTAGTCGTAGGCCAACAGGATTAACTCTTATTTTCTGGTGTTGTGCTAGATGGGTCGCTAATTTATTTTTGGCACATTGTACATAGATTATTTTAAATAAAGACAACGTGCAGTATTTATTTACAGTCTGGTTTGCCTGAAATCATTTTATTTAGAACTTTTACCTCTCTGGGAAACCAAAATGACTAAAAAATGTTGGAGGTTTTGAATAGGGGGGCGGGGTGTGTGTGTGTGTGAGAAAATTGTGGCAGTTGAGAGAAACAGACAGGGGGTTGTTTGTTTTGGTTTTAATAAAAAAGACCATAAAGAATAATGGGGAATACTAAAACAAAGACTTTCAGAATATTTCTTTGGAGTCCCTCTGGGTCTCAATGGTTTTCATTTTTCTTGTGCTCAGTCTGCATATAGCTGTTTTCCTCCTCTTCTTCTTAACTCCCTGAACCTCAGCTCTGAGAGTCAAGAATTTATTTTTTTCTGACTGTCAAGCTAGGTTCAAGGTTTTTTTGGTTAGGTATGTCATAACAAATCTAGTTCATTCTCTGAAGTGGTATTGACTTCACATGGCTCATGCATTAAAAAAATACTGTTAGTAACTAGGTATGCTTCTGAATACGCAAGAAAGATCAGTTGTACAAGAAGGAGCAATTATACATAATTGCTTTTCTGAACCCAACCTTGCTTTGATACAAGTTTCCCTTGCTTTATGCGGATTCTCTGTGTGCAAATTCGCTCTTATATGATGACCCTTTTTATACCAAAAATGTGTTATATACGAGGTAAATTCACTCTTATGCAATCAGTGTGGTGGAAGCCTGCAGTCAGCTGCTTTGTGCGGTGCATTGTAGGAATGACATGCACCAAAATACAGTCTCCTGTGTGGAGCACGCACCAAAATATAGTCTCCTGTGTGGATCTGTGCTCCTCGCTCATTGTCTGCAACATGTATTTCTATAGTTGCCATCCTCATTATGGCTTCTAAGTGTCCCGCTAGCTTATCTCCAGCTGTCTGCTGTTGGTGAGTACCAAAATTGTCTTGTAAAAGTGGTAGAAATGGGTCTGGGGGTCAGTACAGTCGAGGTCTTGGAACGTATCCCTATTTGTTACATTGTAAAGTGGGTTCCCTTTATGTGAATTCGAGTTGTGCAGTTTTCCAGGAATGCATGTACAGCATAAAGCAAGGGAAACCTGCCTGTTACTGTTTGAGGAAATTGGTCAAGTGTGGTTTGGGTTGAAATAGAATTATCATTTGTATTGGGGAGCACCCAGAGACCCAGTCATGAATCAAGAGCTCTGTTGGATCATCACTTTTGCAATACATAAGAAAAAGATGTAATCCCCATTATACAGAATTTAAAATATTACTATAAAGCAAAAGGTAACACATGGATAAGGGGAGCATCTTGAATAAAGCAAGAATTGGAAACTATTTTGACTGTTTTAAAGGCAGATACAATATCCACAGGAATGACTTACCTGTGTTATGCGTTTAAATTAGGATGTAAATGGTTAAGCAACAGTTATATTTATACTATTTACTGCTTACCATTTACTGACCTCCAGCAGCAATGGCTCTAGCCCCTTATGTCTTCACTGCGCACCCAGCGTTGCGTGGACCCCAGGTCACTGTCAGAGAGCCATTCGTGGGGGGTGGCTGGCACGGCCAAGCCACTAGCCGGTGCTGCCCAACTGTCCAGCCACTGGATGAGTCTGCGGCTGCAGACCTCTCCCGTGCCTGGATCCCATCGCCACATCACAAGGAGGTGCTGCAGCAGGCAACACCGAGTCTGAGGGGTTGTGCGTCGGCGCCTTCTTGTGTGGTGAGCATGGCCTTGAGGTGTTCCTTTGGCACCTTAGCAGCTGTAGCTTGGGAGGCCACCTGTTTATAGCCATAATGCTTCTCCAGGATCCTGGCTGCACCGCCTTGCTGCACCACTGCCCCTGAGGATGGCCCTGGGGCTGCACTCACTGCACAAGGGGCTGGTGGTGAGTCCTCAAACACAGTGTCGCCTGCTCCAGCTGCCACAGTGCCTTTCAGGCCAAGCCAGCCTCACACTTAGCCCCACTTTAGGTCTGGGCTGGGCCCTACACAGCCCTAGTGCCACAGGCAGGAGGGGGAAGGATACAGCACATCTGGCAAGGGCTGGGGCTGCCCTCCCCCACACCCCTTTTCCCTGAGCTAAGCTGTGGATGGCCCAGCCTGCAACATGGACAAGCTTTCTGGGTCTGGGCTGTGGTGGCACAAGCACGGTGGGAGGCACAGGGAGCCTGTTGCCCTGCCTGAGGCCTACCACTCTGCAGAGGGGGCTGGGCAGACCCACTGGGGGCCTGGGAGTCTCTACTGTGGTGAGAAGGCCCCGCCCAACTCCTGTGGTAGGGCCCAGCACCTCCCTCCTTCCCTCTCCATGGCAGTGAGATCTGGGGACAGAAGAGGTCCACAGCCCCAGCTCTGTCCGCAGCCCCAGCCCTAGCTCCTTCCCCTGAGGACAAGAAGGGGATGGTTTCCCAGCTGGGCAGCACTCTCTAGTGTCTTGACTATGCCCACGGCTCCCAACCTGCACAGCACCAGGTGCACACTGAAGGCATAAGAGGCCAGGGCCATTCTTGCTGGAGGTCACTAAACTAGGTATGCGCTATTGGTTCATATAATACAATATATTAGTAATATATGCTAGTACATATTTGAAACAAAACAGAAGCTACTCAAGTATATGTAAGTGCAATTTTAGCTGTTTTGTTCTTTAATTCTGATGTGGCCTGAAGTTTATGCACCCGAGTCTAGGTTCTCAAGCCACATCAACTGTATGCACAACCTACACTTGAACACACAAACATTCAAACGAGTTACTTACCTGTATAATAATTGGAATTAGAGAAGTGCTGACCTTGTACATAAATAGAGTACATATGCACCAAACAATAAAAAATACAAAGGGGCAAACACAAAGAATACCAACTTGCCCCATATCTAGAACTAATCACATATATACACATATACTTCTGCATCATAGTAGATTAAGCTACATAAATCTGGGTTACATTTAAATTAGGGATGTAAACATCATATAAAAATTACCCATTTAACCTCCTCTAATTATATCAGTTAAATATATACATATACGTAAGTAACTTCTGTTTTGTTTCAAATATGTATTAGTAGCATTTAGTAACAGGAATATTGACAAACCTTCTCTCTTTTGACCATACAGGTGTTGGGTTTCATGTATTTCTTGTCTCTGCATTTTTAGCTGGAAAGAAGCCTTGCCCTCTATGTCCTGAAGAGAAATTTAAAGCTTGCTATAGCCATAAGCTCCATCGCCACCTTCAGAATTTGCACTGGAAAGTTTCTGTTGAATTTGAAGGTAAAGACTTCTATGCTTGAATAGATTTCCTGGTTTTAGGGCATACCGCATGGCACCAAGTACCAGTTACAGTTATGCAAGGGTGTAGCCTCTAGTTCTTCAGTCTTTATGCCTTTAAATCCAGTGGGAGTTGCATCAGCATAAATGTCCTACTCCTAAATAAAAGCACACTCTTGACATTTTGGTTGAACTGCCTTTATCCTCCTCTTCAAATTTAGTATTTATAGTAGGAACCAGAATAAATATGTTTGTTTTCTTCACCAATTTTAAAGTTATATTTTGATGTTAAAATAAGTAAATATTTAGTGGCATTTCTCATTCATAGCAGTTTGTTCACACAATTTAACCCAGTTTTCAAAAAATAAATGTCTTTATAAAATGCAGAGCTCTAATACTACACGAACACTTAAGTGTTACCACAAAACTTTGTAGTGTAATGAAGCGATAGCAAGTTTAGGCATAGGGCATAAATGACTATGAAAGTACATAACTCCCTGTTTTCTTTTGCACACTTAAAATACTTTTAATAAAGCATTTTCTTATAGAAATTAACTTCACCGTGTCATAAAAAACAGTTATAAATTCACAAATGTAAACATACTAGAAAACTTTTGGTATTCTTGGCTAAAAGCTTTTTAGGCCATTTTTAAAAAAAATGTCACTGGTTCACTTGCTTTCTGATCAGCCTGCGTTGCCAAAGATTTTACTGCAGAGGGGCAAAGTTCATATATTTCTATATTCCAAAGCCATGTGTAGTATATAAACAGTGCCAAAATACATCTTAGAAACAAATTATCTAAGTCCAGTAGTAGCTAGTAAAGAAAAGAAAAGCACACTGAAGACAACAAAGAAAAAGTGCATAGTCTATTTTTATTGTCAGGAAAGGAAGAATTAAGGCAGGAATAAAAGTAAAAGGTTTATAGGGAGATGTGGGTTTTTTAAATTTATTAAACAGAAATATGATATTTCATGCAGTACGCATGTTTTTCTTTTTAGGGGAAGTTGTGCTGTCTTCTGTAGAGTTTATAGCCCATCTATTTTTCACTTGACTAATAAGCTGCAGATATTAAACGGTGTGTGGAGGTCCCCACTCTTTCTCCAGCCCCCCCTCTCCCCAACACCTACACTCTGCCCATCCAAGGTCTGCACTCCCACTGCCCCCCTGAATGCGGGATTCGTGCTCCCACTAGCCCTAGCCCCACACTTCTCACTCCTCAACTGCAGGTCCCACCTGCAGCCCCCACCACTTCACCACTACTTCCCTACCTGGTGCCCAGAGCAAGCGGGATGCTGGGGAAGCTGAGCAGGTTCTCCAGCGGCTACAGCAGTGGCAGCAGCAGCCCTGCCTGGAAGCTGCATGATGGCCAGGCCCTTCTGCCCACAAGGGTGAGGGCCAGGCTGGGGCTGGGCAGGGTACAATTAGTTGGTGGGCACCCGTGAGCCAGATGAAATTGCCTGGCAGGCCAGATTCAGCCCACGTGCCATATTTTGCCTGCCCCATGCTAGGCAGTGTACTGTGGGACCATAAGCCAAATACCATATTCTGTCACATTTCCCATACCTTTCACTCAAAACCAGCTGGGGAAAATGGGGTGCACATTGTACAAAGAAAAAGGCTGCCCATGGGTCTGGAAATTAGGGGTGAGAGGTGGACTGGTGACAACATTAATTCCTGCCACTCCAGGAGCCACAGCAATTGATACTGCCATGAGTCCCTCCTCCCCTCACCCTTCTGCTGCCATGTTTCCATACTGGTGGGGGACCCCACCGCAGCCTCCACAACCACGTGCAAGATCAGAATAGCTAACAGGACTGGTCTACAGCAGGACCTGGCATGCTGGGTCTGACCCAACATGTGGTTCCCGTGCCAGTGCACTATCCTGGACTTGGGAGCACAGATATGGAGACAGTGTGCAGGGTTGGACCCAACAAGCAGCCCCAGCCTTGCCACACTACATTGGGCCCTGTTGTGTTGCTCTGGCATGCTGTATTGGGCTGTAGGCTCCTAGCCCCAGAGACCCCAGACTTCTGGTAGTTACTCCTACTTCAAAGTAAGATTCCTTTTCCTTCTTGGGGCCTTCCAAAAATAGGTTCCATATTATATTTGGGGGCATGTTATATGCTAGAAAACACGGTAGTACGCTTTTTTGTTTGTTTCCCATAGTGCAATGTAACAAAAATGTACTTGTTTTCCAGGATACAGAATGTGTATCTGTCATTTACCTTGTCGCCCTGTGAAGCCAAATCTCATTGGAGACCAGGTAACCAATGCTGGATCACAGAAATGTTCATTGTTCCATCAAAGGAGAGAAATTCAGACAATATTTTTTGAAGTGTTTTAATTAAGTCTTCAAGTATAGGTGGCTTGTTGTTATGAGATATGGAAACCCTAACAGTCATCTATTTGGATTCAGTTGAGACTTGTAGGTGGTCAGAAAAAGGGTTCACATTTTGGATTGATAAAGCAACATTGTTTACAGTCATAGAAAACTCTATCCATTCATGACTATGAATGGACTGTCTCCACCCCCTAAAAATGGTATCTAAGGGTCAAGTTGATGCAGGATTCTGCGGGCAAGTCTACATAAGATGCTACTGCACAGTTGTTACTGCTCATTTATTTAGCACTTGTATTAACAAGTGCTAAATAAATGCACAATAACTAGAATTGCTGCTCAGTAGCTCTGGCGAACATCTTTTAGGTGACACTACCACGCAGTCACTGAATAATACTGTGCAGTAGCTCGTTATCGCTGTCTGTGCTGTAATGCGCTACTGTACAGTATTTTTCGGTGACTGCGCAGTTAGCATCTTATGTAGACATGCCCTGAATGTTGAAAATTTCTCATGTATACGTTTTATTGGATAAACAGATTTCAGTCTCCATTACTCTCAGTTCAAAAAACAAAGTTCATGCATCTTCATCTTTGTGTTTTAATATGAAGCACTTTATTCAGGTTTCATTCTAGTTCAGGTCTCTTGCTATATTTTTAAATTACGCTTGATGCATTTTATAGACCTCTATGAAGATGGGGGCCCATTATCACTGTATTATTTGTTCAGCAACTATCACACGAAGGACTGACATGATAGGGCATATTAAGCGTCATGTGAACAAAGGAGAAACTGAATCCAGGTACATTGCAGGTAGGTTATTTAATATTTTTGCCTTTGGATCCTTGACACCATGCATTACATGTTACAACTGAACTATATGGCAGATACTGTCTTTGAAAGTTGAAGATTTTTTGCCCGGAAAACTCAAAAGGCTGGGATGCTGGGTTTGTGATGCTTTTCCTCACTCTACATACTCACACTGTCCTTGCTGATAAATAACATCAGCATTTTGAAACTAACTTGAATAATTATGAAAGAAAACTGACATGGCTAATTTTATGCCACCCTATTTTGGAAGTTGCTTTTCATTCTTATAGCAGTTTCAAATATAAATCCAAGTACCTACTTTCCTATGAACTTACCAACAGAATGCCAAAAATTATTCATTATGTTTGTTCAAAGTGTTTAAACATGGATTATTGAAACCAGATTACTTTTTTCCGTTCTATAGAAACTTGCTAAAGGTGTAGATCAATAGTTCTCAATCTGCTTATACTCAAGGCACCCCTGTTAGACTTAAGACACTCCTCAGAAAATTACAGCTTTTCATTTTCCCTCCTTTCTTGACTAGAGAAAAATAATAGAGCAATTTTTCTGTTGCAAAGTACTTAGACAACAAGTCAGGATATTTTTAATACTGGATTCCTATTTGAAATTTCTGGGTGCATCTACGCATGCTTTATTGTGGAGTTGACTAATTAACTAAGCAGCAAAGCATCACTGTCTATACATGTGCTGGTATTAGGGCACAATCAATTAAAGAATTCTGCCCCAGGGCGGAGTTAAGTGTGACAAAATGCATGGTTTCAGGGGCTGGCTGGCTGGCTGGTGCATAAGGATGCTAACCTGCTACCTAGCCACATGGCTCTGCAGGTTCTCTCTCGTGCTCCACAATTATTATTCTAACTGGAAGATAAGCACTGTTTTTTCCTGTGTTTTTTCCAGCCAGATGCCTATCCAGCCTTCATTATTCCACATGAAACTCTTCATTTCAAAATAATTGTTGAAAAAGAATTTACACCTGTACATGTCCATTTTTTCTCTTGGGGAAAAGCTTTGGTCTAGTGAGTAGGGGACTAGGAGTTAAGATGAATATCAGTTTGGGAAATAAAACTTTTGTGGCCTAGGACCAGTCACTTAGTCCCTTTGGATCAGTTCCCCCCATATATGAAATTGTTGCATATCCTTATAATTCAGAGACCATCAAATGGAAATCAAAATATAACTTTGAATCATCATCCCTTCGTGGTTTCCATAGTTAAAGTGCCATGCTAGTGCCCATTAAGCGCAGTCTCCGTCATTGCCCACATTTTTTTTCCAAGTGATGGCGAGCCACAATATTGCATACAGTTCACCCAGAATTGCTCTTATGCCCTGTCCCACACTGGCACATAGGATTAGTGTGGTCCCACCCTCTATGACATGAAGCCAGACCAGGTTGCCCTGCACCTCATCTGCACATACATTTTTAGAGTACCCCAGGACTTATGAAAAGAACACCTGGTTCCAGTCATTGAGGGGACGCTAATAAGCACGTGGATCCTTTCTTGGGGGTGGTGCAAGGATATCTGGAGTATACACACATACTGAGCAATGCTGAGCAGTGGGGTCACCATGGAGGACTGGGCCACACTCTAATCCTATGTACCAGGCTGAGAGAAGTTGCTACAGAGGTATTCTAGGTGAACTGTATGCAATATTGTGACTCGCCATGGTTTGAAATGCTGTTGACTCTGGGACCCAACCCCATGTACTATGTAGTAAATCTTAAGTATTTTGGCTTTGGGCTAATGTCATGCATAGTTTATTAGAGGTGCACTGGTACATCGGTCAGATACCGAATTGGCACTGATATAAAGAAAATTTTCTGTATCGAAAATTGGCCTGATGCAGCCCATAATTTGTCCAATAAATGCCCATGTGTGCAGCTGGTAAGTCTGGTGTGGTGGGAGGGGAAGGGAATGGGGGAAGGACTTGGCGGGGGCGGCAGATCAAGGCTGCCACAGTGAGGAGGCTGTGGGGTTGGGGCTGGGGTAAGGGCAGGGGCTGTCCATCCAGGTCCGGAGGAGGCATGGGATGGAGACGTGGCACATCGGGGTGGGGCGGGAAGGAGAGGGGACGGTTCCCACTGTTTTGCATGGCTCATCCGGTGCTCTTCTGCCAGCTCTCACCACTGCCTAGTGGTGAGAGCCGGCCACTTGTCCAGGAGGGCACAGTGGGAGGGGGCATGTGCCCCCGAATCTGCGCAAGGCGGGCTTGGGCCAGGCTCCACCACTTGTCCAGGAGGGCACAGAGGGAGGGGGCATGTGCCCCTGGGTCTGCGCAAGGCAGGCTTGGGCCAGGCTCTTCCCAGCCAGGGAGATCCGTGGGCACACAGTTGTTTCCTCCCCCTCCCCCCATGCCCTCCTGGACAAATGGCAGCAGCCATCAGACAAGCACCGAATAAGCTGCACGCAGAGGTGGGAGCCACACCCTGACAAGCCACATCTCTGTCCCGTGCCTGTCCCAGCCTGCAGCTGCAGCCTGCCCTGCGCCCCACAGATTTGGGGTACATGCCCCATCCCCCCACAACGAGCTGCTTGCAGCTCTGTCCTGCGCCCTTCCCCACTCCAGCTGGTCAGCGCCTGCCCCAGCCCCATTCCCTCCCTCACCACAGGGGCCTTGATCCCCCTTCCCCTCCTCCCCCGTTCCTTCCCTCTCCTTCCACCACACCAGATTTACCAGCTGGACACAGCTCTGCAAGCTAAAGAGCTATGTTTCGGAAATTGAATCAGTATCGCTCAATGTGCCTCCTTAAAAATCGGCTGTCAGTATCAGCCCCAAAAATCTCTATAAGTGCACCCCTATAGTTTATACTAGATATAAGTAGGTGCCAAAGTGACGCTCAAAATTGTGTTTATGAAACACGTGTTAAAAACGTGGTAGTGTCAAAAAAAAGGTAACATCTATCAATTCTGGATAAACTAAGTCTATGGGTACAATATGCCATGGGTATAACGTGGCTACAGTCATGTTTAATTTCAAGGTTATTGTTTTCAGATTTGCTTCTCACTTCCATGTGCTCAGGGAGACCAGGGTCTGACAGTAAGAGGAGAGAAAAGTTGGGGGGAAGCAGAGAGCAAAGAGCTATTTTCCCTGCTATAGAAATGGCAGGTGAAAAATTCAAGGCAAACCTCCAATAATTAGATTCTATACCTAGAAAATTC